AATCCACTTTGTTTCAAACTCTTCAGCTGAAAGCTTGTCATATTTAAGAACTTGCACCGAATCCTCTCCATTCTCCTCAGGTACTGAAAATACAAATTAATTAAAAACCATTACTAAACCACAAATTCCACATTTCCTACCAAAAGTAATTTTAGCCTTTTTTGACGCCGTAGATGATTCGTTTTCCAGCATAAAAATCTGCTTGCTTTGTTTTTTAAGATTTTGGGATTTTACATAAATTTTTCCTCTACGTTCTGTTCGATAGAATTCAAGTTTTTCAGTCGGAAATAGAGACAATATTTGCGTTTCGAGTTTGTAGCTTGCTTGAAGAGTCATTGGTGCGTCTTTTCTTGCAAAATGCTGGGCAGCAATGTTTATAATGAAAACTCTTAGTTCATCTGTGAGAAACTTGTTTTTTTCGTAAAACTGTAGCACACGTTCCCCATTTTTATTACTTTGCAATATCTCCAACATATTGACGTTATCGACTTCTTCCGTATTCAGACATTTTTACATTAAAAATAAATTGTTTAGCATGGAAAAAGGTATTTTTAAATTGTTTCTTTGAAACGAAGCATAAATTTTCCCTTAGCGGTATTAATCAATGTGGCCGGTGGTCCAATTAATTCGTCAAGCTTCAAAACGGAATATTCTCCTTTATCATTTGGAATAATTTCAAATGCAGTGTAGTGTTTCAAATACGTACTGTTTAGAACTTGTTGACAAACCAAATAAACTGTGAGTTGTGAAACAACGATGTTGACAATTTTGTATACATCATCTTTTTTTGTTGCTACAAAATACGAACTTTTGTATGTGATATTTTTATAAACAACTTTTTCAAAAGTCTTTATAGTATTTTTTGCAACTTTTAATTTGAGGCTTATAACGTCCAGCAAATAATCTTGACACTCGCTGATATTCGGAAAACACCAAAAATACGGAAAACACCAAAAATTTCTTTATCATTAAATAACTTGAGATACATTTTATTATGTCTTTTTATATTACTTTCCAAAGAATTTATCATGAAGGCGTCCACCCGAAAAGACAATATAGTATCTACTATTTCAATTAATGTTAGTACGAGCTGCCAAACTTCATCGTCACGTGGCACGAAATCGCCTACCATAATGGGAAAATATATAACAAAAGTTAGCATTTCACGAGCAGACATTTTTAAATGCTTTTTTTCCAAATGTAGCTTAGTAATATGTGGTGAAAAATTACCAATTTCAAGCTCTCCATACTCAAAGCATCGTTTACGTTTATTTAATTCTTCAAGTGAAAAGTATTTTTTGGTTGTAACCAAATACAATATGACATTTGTCATGTCATAGTGGCATACGCCCTCCAAGACATCATGCATTGCGTCTACGCTTATATTGTCAATTACATGAAAGCTTGGAATTTTGTTGAATTCACATTTTTCAATGATTCCGGTTTTCTTTGAATCAGTAATTTCTAATGCGCTGTTATATTTACCGTAGTCCCGCCTGAGCTCCGGATTGGCCGAACATGATTTCTGACTAGATTGATAATCAATCTCACAAAAACGGCAAAACTTTCCGTTGAAATTTTTTATGAACCCAAGAATACTATTCAAACCCAAATTGTCGCCCAGAATTAAAAGAGGTATAAAATAAACATGAAATGTAGCACCGTCTGACATCTCTATATCCAAACCTTCGGTTTCTAAAAATGCCATTTGTTCAACTACTGATGCAAGACACTTTTTATTCCCGAATTTTTGTATGTCTTTGTTTTTAATGCTTCCTAGGAAAAAAATATTGTTCAATTTTGTGGCGTTAGGCAGTGTAGGAAAAGAAAAGTATAAATTGCAGATTGAATGGGTAGTGGCGTGGGAACCTAATGGGTTATTAATCTCGATATCGTCGGAGTAAAAGTTATAAGGAATTAATAGTTTACCGGGATACCGGCTAACCTTTTTTTGCCACAGTGGTCCCTGAATAATATTTTGAAATTCATTGGAGTTCTCAAGTTCATGACAAATCGACCGCATTTGGTAAAAATTTTTATTTTTTTCTAGAATTTTTTTGAACATAAATGCCATAGGCATTGTTGTAATTTTTGTTGTCAAATTTGAGTGGACCAACTTACCTTTAGTATGAGCTAGTGTTTCTCTTTGATCAATCACCGTTTCTTTTAGATCTTGAAGAAGATTAATCTCTTTTAGTTTTTCGGAAAGCAAATACTCCGTTTTAAGCTTTTCTAAAATTGCAGAATATTTTGATAGTAATATTGATAATTTTGTGGACAAATTATTATCTAAGTCTTTTGCAAAGGCATTTATTACTTCCAAAAACGGGTTAACGACTGCATCAATGACATTACCATAAATAAAAGTAACATCTTTTCTTGAAAAATTATAGTTTGAATGCATACTTGTTAGGAATTTAATAACGTTCTCGCTAACCCTTTCAAATTTCTTTTCTTCCGATTCAGGCTGCAAATAGTTTGAAGGAGTTGGAGAAACGTCAATATTTTGTTCGCATTGATTGTCAAGAATAACCGGAATGTCTGCTTCTATTTCCTCAATTTGTTTCACACTTGTTAAAACCCGCGTCTCTTTTATTTGATTTTTTTGTTCTTGGGGAGAAAAACTGCTGTTATGCCGTTTTGCTATATGTCTTTGAAAAGACCTATATTCATAATTTTGACCACAACACTTGTATAAATCAGTAGATTTCAGAAAATGATCACCCCGAAGGTGTTTGAAGAAATGTTTTTTGTCACAAAACTTTTTTTTACACATAAAGCAAATCATTTTATTTTGTGTTATTTACCACTGTTTTTTATTTTGTTTGAAGAATGTATTTCTTTTATTTTTATTTAATTCACAAACTCACTTTTAAATGTTCTCCGATTGAAAACCACAATGAAATGAATAAGCAATTTTCTATTTCACTTCGCTGAACCAAAAATATGTGACAAACAAAAATATACCGTTATAATTGATCGTTACTCTATTTTGTTAGTGGAGTTGTTCAGACGAAAGAGATATGTGTGTGTGTAGTTGTTGCTTCCATAGTTTGCCAACAAGTTCATGAGTACACATTAAATGTGATGCAAACTTTTCAGAATAAAAAACGCGTCAAAATATAAACTTTTTTTATATAGAACGAGTACCAATCCGCTTTTTCGAAACAAATATAGACGACATTTGTTATTATAAAAAATGTTTTGTGTTCTATTAAAAACTAATGGAGTGAAGCTTTATTTAAAACACAAGTATACAATACACATAAATACATTGCGAATTATTAAAATACTTATAATAAATGTACTAATAATTAATGTTTTTAAGAAACCAGATATAGGTCTGTACACTTAAGTAAACTGTTTGTTTATTTATACTATATTAAAAATAAAATAAAAGCAAATTAAATAAACGAAAAAAAGGACTTCTGCCTAAAGGCAAAATCCGTTGAAAATGTTATTGTTTTGCAAGTTTCGAGGTACGATTCCACAAATATAGTCTCAAACGGCTCAAACGGAAAATGTCAAATGATTTCAATTTATTGATAATTATTTGACATAAAATTGAAAGATTAATTGTTTGGTGAGAAAAGGCCTGTACGATTTGGCTTCAAAACGATAAAACATACGATAAACGATATATCGTTTCCCGTGAAAAAGCCTTAACGCAATATAAAATTCTTAAAATTTCTTTAAATTCTTTACATCAATGTCTCAGAAGTTTGATAAATACAGAACGGAGCAATACATAAATATTAAAAAAACATAAAAAATGGTTAAAGATGCAAACATGTTTATTACTTCGTCTGTAGCTGTCACAAGTTCCGGATCACTTTTCGATTTTATTGCGATTATATTTTTTCTTTTTCAAGTGTACACAAAATATATCAGAGCAACAATAAATATAATTGTATAAATCTTTCGTCTACTTAAATTAAATAAACGCGAAATATAGTTAGAATAAGGCTAAGTTATCAACACTGAATCAAACTCTATGTTGGTACGCTCCCATACACACACACGCTTTACTGAATAACCAAACTACAGTTGACACTCGAGTATGCGATATTTACAAAATTATATTAAATATAAAATTGTTTGTCTAATACATAAAACATACCCGCCAATATTATTTTGTAAATTAAATAAAATATATTTTTATAAACTGAAAAATTTCATCCATGAAAGGCTTTCCATTATTCATTATAAATCAAACAGGAACTATTTCAGATAATCGAGGTTCAACTGTATTTTCTTCTTAGTGCAGTTTCAGTCACGTTCAGTCTTGTGTATTTTGTTTCTCGTAACAAGAATGTTTTTGTATATTTAGGCTTCTAACGAACATTATTAAGGAAAAAGCTAGAAATAATGTTTAGAGAGATTTGACCAAACGTAAAAAGCAAAGCACAGCATGTCCATTTATTTATGAAGCCATCTCATTAACAATGTGAAACGGTTCATTCAGCCTATGAACATTCTCTATAAACATTGTGGACGAAAAATTTCAATGTAGTTTCATAAGAAATAATGCAATTTAATGAAGCTATTTCAAAACATGTATGCAACTTTTCATTCGACCAATGAACATCTTTTATGAAAATGGGTTATGAAAACCTTCATTAAAGTTTCATAAAAATGAAAGCATTTTTATGAAGCAATTTCATTTAACCTATGAAATATTGCATTCAACCAATGAAATTATTTTTATGATTTTTTTTTATGAAGCCTTCATAACACCTTCATTGGATCAATGCAACTTTTGCATTGGATCTATGAAGTTTCATTCTATTAATGAAAATTTTCATTGGATGAATGAAAAAATTCTTATGAAAATGTTTCATTGATCCAATGAAGCATTTTTCTCTCAGTGTACCCAAACTTACCACATGTGGCAATAGAAAATTCCTATCTTATTATTGTGTACAAATATTCAACCAAAATAATCTCTTATCTCCAGTGGACTGTAGACAAAAATATATCCCTGTTTAACTAAATATTCTCTCTTCTACACAAGAGACCCACAGCAAGACATTCACTATCTTTATTATTTAAAAACCATGTTCGCTACGTGAACAGTACTGTTCACATATTTGCCCTCTTCTCTATATTGTAAAACTCACAACATTGCCAAAAATTTGAATTTTTTAGATTTTTTATTTGATATGTGTCGTCCATAATCAGGTCTTCACATATAAAATCCATAAATATATACCTACTATTGAATAGTATAGTATGAATAGTACCATTTTAGGAGTACTATTAGTTATAACGAAAAATGTAGCTTATTATAAAATGTTTCAAATGCTTCTTAATGGGTAAATAAAAAAAATTGCCAAATTTTTTCATAAAATAATTAAAATTGTCCATCTAAATATATTCTTATCCAAGATATGGATAAACATACAGTAAAACATCTACTTTTATTTTCTGCGCGCTAGATCTGCATTTTTTCCGACTGTCCATTGGCGTCTTCCGATCGTTTTAGAGCAACTTCTAGTTCTTTATTCCTTGCCCGTAACTGCGCCACGTCACGGCCACGGCTTTTCTCCTCCAATGCTCTTTGAAGGCTGCCCATTTGCTCTTGGACTGGCCTAAAACTGCTATATTGGATTTCTTCTCCAATATCTCCATCCACCGATCCCGCACCACCGGATCGCCTGTTACTTCATCGGATGCGTCCCTCACTAGACTTTCTATAAAGTCATATAGGTTCGGTACCACAGTCGCAGATAGTCGATCGATATTCTCTGCGAACATGTTAATATTATTTAGAAGATTGTTTATCTCCCACTCCAGGGTCGGTGCCGAGGCTCTGCCTAGTTTATCTTCATCTGCAGGCGCAATGCTCAGCATCGAAGCTTCGCTGGCTAAATGTCTCGCCGTCACCGTCTTGTTCCTTGCCGCAGTCTCCTTTTGTCTATTTGGATTTCCTCCAAGCTGAGAGAATTTCCTTGACCTTTAAGGCAAATTCTTCAGCATCAATTCCCTCAACAATCGGTCACTGATCCGGCTCGAAGGACCAATGAAAAACTAGGGATCTGATCTAGATTACGCGGTTATTATCCGCGGAGGGAAAGCACGTCTGTATTTTTTGCTGTGCATTTACACACTAATTTATTTGACTAAAAAGCAATCCTTAAGAAGTAAGTATTACAATATGACTTAACCTTAGACTAATGTGTAAAAGAGAGAGAGAGAGTGCATCTGCCATAACACATGGAGTGGACACACACAATTCTTTATCTCACATGTGGCAAGCACGCTACACATGCTTATCAGTCTGTAGTGAAGATTATTCCCCGTAATCTCACCCAAACTTACCACATGTGGCAATAGAAAACTCCTATCTTATTATTGTGTACAAATATTCAACCAAAATAATCTCTTATCTCCAGTGGACTGTAGACAAAAATATATCCCTGTTTAACTAAATATTCTCTCTTCTACACAAGAGACCCACAGCAAGACATTCACTATCTTTATTATTTAAAAAACATGTTCGCTACGTGAACAGTACTGTTCACATATTTGCCCTCTTCTCTATATTGTAAAACTCACAACATTGCCAAAAATTTGAATTTTTTAGATTTTTTATTTGATATGTGTCGTCCATAATCAGGTCTTCACATATAAAATCCATAAATATATACCTACTATTGAATCTGCATATTGATTTTAATCTTTAAAATATGTTGTTACCTGTAGGCAACATTGGGCCACAAATGGTTGGTGAGATTTACACAGTATGTCATGACATGCCCTGAAAGTAACATAGGCTAGACCAACTTCAAAAATTCCCCGTGGATGCGCAGTTCTAGCATCAATAGTAGTCGCACCTCAAAAATTATGAGCCTGAATATGCGTATATATTAAAAACTGTAAACAGATAACGGCTTAAAAATTTGTCAGATAAACGTTGGTGTAAATACACGTCATCTATACAGAAAGGAACATAGTTCGATCTGCGGAAAATTCACTTACTACTGCATTTTCAAAATCGGCATATTGAAAATAGAAAACATGAACAGATTCTACTGAGATTTTCACAGAACGCCATGACATTCCCTGGGAATAACATAGGTTATATAAACTTCTAAGATTCAGCGTGGATGCGGAGTTATATCATCGAACTGCCACGTTACTCAGAAATGTTTTTGAGGCATGATTACCTTAAAAATATTTCTAAGTAACGTGTGTGTAAATGCGAATCTATACAACATGAGCGTGGTACGATCAAGTTAAAATGTACTCCTCATTGCATTTGAATCTATATGTATGGATATAGAAAATATATTGTTTGTGGACTCAAAAACAACTGAACAGATTTTACTTTAATGTTCACAGTACGTCGTGTGATCATAGGTTAGATAAAATCCGCGTGGATGCGGAGTAATAGCATCAAAAGTATTCATACATCTGAAATATGAAAATTTGGTTCAGTAACATGGATGATGAGGATGAACTATGAGGATATATTTTGAAATACATAACATTCATATGTAAGTATGTGTATTGAAATAAAATTAGTATAAACTTGAAAAAAATGATTGACATTAATTTTTTTTTTCAATTTGTGAAATCATGTTAACTTTGGACAAAAATGTTATTTGGCTTAAAAAAAACACTGAAGTGAATCGTGTGCATTTTAATTATAAATCGTTTGATCATCTCTTCATCATCATCTCTCTTTCTACTTTGATGGAAGATAACAAAAACATCCTTCTAAGTCGTTTTATGCATTACATTCTGTGCATTATTTTAATGTTAATTTTTCCAAAACAAAAGCTTTGGAATTTTGTTCAAATAATCATAGTCTCTCATCCTTCAATATATTCCTAGGTCAGTTCAAAATTGATTTTGTACAGCAACATAGATGTCTGGGTATAATTCTCGATTGTGAAAGGTCATACTGATGTTTTAGCGGGGAAAGTTTGGAGCACTTATGCATCAATAATTTTAAAATTATTATTAATTAAAATTAAATTATGTTTTTGCAAAATAGTCAGGCTTAATCCCAGTTTGTTGTTTTTATAAAAAACAACTATTTATTAGTGGGGAATGTATGGTATTGTCCGCCGAGGGGTAAGGCAGGGAAGACTATAGT